CCCATGTTCATTGCAGCATTAGTTATAATAGCAAAAAGATGGAGACAGCCTAAGTGCCCATCAACAGAAGAATGTTTTAAAAACCTTTGGTATACACACTCAATGGAATAATGATGAATCTGCAAAATGAATCTGCAAAACATGAATGAACCCGGAGGATACTATACTGTGTGAAATGCGTCAGTCACAAATGGACAAGTATTGAATGAGACCGCTGTTGTCAAAAGTTAAGAAAAGATTTTCTTGCTAAAGGAAACATTCTATGATATTTACCAGGGTGGGGAGGGAAGGGAAAATTGTTCACTGGATAGAGGGTAGACACATGTTAACTTGGGTGATGGGGAAGGCGGTGTATAACAACAGGGAGGTTGGCACAGGAGAGATGATGGCATCTTTTGTGGAAGCCACAATAGAGGGCAGACTTCTGGCAAGATGGTGGACTAGGCAGATGCACTACACAGACCCCTACAGCAAAGATACAAGAGACCAAATGAAACAGACACAGATGAAAATCCTGGAACCCTGAACTTCAAAAAAAAAAAAAAGGTTAGAGAAATGGATTGCTTGCTGGGAGAAGCTGAGCAGGGACCATGAGAGAGGGACCCTGACACGGCTCGAGCATCTTGTGAGCAGCTTTGGCAACTGAAGGTGCCTGGTTGAGCAGACCACACAGGCCACGGGAAAGGTGTGATTCCATCTTTTCCCCCATGTTCCCCTGGTGACCAGAGGTGTGGCCAGCTCCCACCTACATTCACCCCCAGCTCAGACCCTGCTTTCTGGGAGTTTGGAGCCACACCAATGTGAGGTGGGAGTTGGCTATGCCTCTTTGGTGCCTGGATTCAGCAAAGCTCCACTCCAGACCTACAGAATCCCCAGAGCCACCAGACTAGCATTGAACCAGTCACCCTGCCCCCAGCTGCCCTATGGTCCTAACAGACACTGAAACCAGCTCCATCAAGAGCCTCCATGAACTACTTTCAGATTGAGTGTCCTGAACAGACACCACAGAAACTGATAGCACTGCATCTATGGCTAGGACCTCTGATGTCACATCCCTCCCACACTTTTTGTCTTCCTTCTCTTTCCATTCCCTTGAATTTTATCCTATCTCTACGTTCGGTTTTCCTTCTTTTCTTTGTTTCTCATTACCCCTCTTCTTTATTATTACTCTTTTAATCTTTTTATTTTTTATTTTTATTTTTTTACTACTCTCGACTCTATTTTTTCA